CTTGGGGGTAGGTGCCATGCACCCTCCCTCCATCCCCCTCCCTGGTGCTCTGAGGGGAGCTGGGCCTGTCTGAGGAGGCCTCGGCCCAGCCAAACTCCCCATTATCCTCTTTCCTCTTCTTCCCCCATGAAACTTGGGAACTGCACATGAGGGGAATGGGGCCAGGGATAAAAATATGTGGAATTAGGGAGAGGCATTTTCCATGCATCACCTCTTCACCAACTTTGATGAAGAATTTGTATAGTGTTTTATATATACCTCTTTTACCTGGTGGAGTGAAATGAGAACCTGGTATCCTGAGGAAAGCATAGTAGAAGAGACCATGGCACACTCATCCATTAAAACTGTGCAGCTGTGGAAACAAAGGGAAGCAAAACAGTGGGGACCCTGGAAATATTTTGATAGCACACGGTCAGCTGCACTCATCAACAAATTTTTCCTCAATATTGAAATATGAATAAACTTTCTCATCTGTCTGCATCCTTCAAGAAATGAAGTTGTTTGGTTCTGCAGGGATTGATTATTGAGGATGAGATTAGAAGAATCTGATCCCCTTATCAAAAGCATAACTCTCCTTTTGACGTGCATTATTAACGTCAGAGCTTCGGAGAATGAAAATAGGGTAGTCAATTAAAATGACACCAACAAATCAATGTCAATTTCTATGACAGAAATCCAGTTGCATTTCGTGTTACAAAACCTGCACTTGTATCTATTTATAAAAGCAATACTTAAGAATTCTGTTCCAAATATAGAATAGTGATAGAAATGCAGCCGTGTTAGTCTGGTCTAGCTGAAACAAAAGACAGAACTATGTAGCACTTTAAAGACTAACAAGATGGTTTATTAGGTGATGAGCTTTTGTGGGCCAGACCCACTTCCATATGTGGAAGAAAATCGGCACAACCATATATACCAAAGTGATACAATCAAAAAAATGAACGCATGTGAAATTGACAAATCAAATTTTAGAACAGAGTGCGGGTGAGGGGGGGAAGGTTAGTGTCTGTGAGGTAATGACATAGGGGTGATAACTTCCCCTATTTAGTCTTTAAAGTGCTACATAGTTCTGTCTTTTGTTCCAAATATAGTTACATTGTTTTCTGCATAAATGTATCTTCAGTTGTTTTTGTTTTTATTATCCCAAATTTACATGTCAAATTCATTACTAGAAGGATATAAAACAATCCATATATTATGGATAAACAATTATGAAATAGTGATTGATACTTTAATGGAAACACTAACAAACTGTTAATTCTAATGTCATGTATAAATATCCCATATTAAGGTCATTTTAAAACACACTCATGTTTGTCTGAGAGTACCTTAGTTCTTCATTTTTAGTGATATTAATTTTATATTAAAATAACAAGGATGATATTTTGATTTTTTTTAATCCTGTGTAAAGAAAGGACTTGACTTGGTATTTAAAGCAGACATAAACTGGAGCAAATGGAATGGCACAGCAATTATTCCTTGGAGCTATTTCCCACCTGGTGTTGACAAGATGAATTCATATGCCATCCATGGATCTGGGATTGGAAGAACATATGAGGCACTTTATCCAATACCTAGAGAGGAGATTGAATTTGATCAGAAGCCTAATTTGTGAGTACAAAACCGGTATCTTATTTTTACTAGTTCTTGTCTGTGACTATTAATACAGTGAGTTTGGGAAATCCTTCCTACTGCAGAATAATGCAGTGAAATACTTTCAGCATGAAACTGATAAGAATTTTGAAACTGCCTTTTGGGTCTTGATTCAAAGCCCATTAAAGTCTGGAAATGGAAGTCCTTCCATTTACTTTAATAGGGTTTTGACCATAGGCTTTGTGGTGTCCGGGGTGCAAAGCAGCCTCAACATTATTGGTTTCTGCCTGTGAAGATTCCTCCTATGCAGGTAAATCCTCAGGTGGAGTAGAACTACTATACAAACTCCTACTCTACCCCCTCTCCTAACCCCAAACCAGGAGATAGCTGTGCTGTTCCTAAAATTCATCAATCCTTGCCTGCCAAAAAGACCCTCTTTGCCCAGGTAAATAGACTTCAGCTTTCAGGACTTCAGCTGTCCTGCTAAAAATGGTTATATAGATGTTACAGCCCATGCAGAAACTCAGACTAGCTCAAGTCCAGCTGGACTCCTAGGTTTGCTCCCAGCTTCAGGGTATACACATATCTTTACAGCCATAGGCAGCTGGATTTAAGGTAGAGGGAACAGCCTTTGAATGAGTTTTGTCAACCAAATAAACCTTTACATTTTTGGTCACAATTTTGGGTATCTGTTTTGTGAATGCAAAAGCAGCATTTGTGTCCTCAGTAATTTGACCTTGAAATACTAATTCAGTTGGCACCATTAAAATATTAACACTTACTGTTCAGAGGAGTTACAGTGACTGGGTATTTGTCATGTTTCCTGTTCGAAAGAGAGTCCCACAAATACAGCTGTAAAAGTGAAACTGAACTCCAATAACTAACAAGATTTGACTAGCATCGAATCTATTTACCCACAGAGTGACTATGCACAAAAATGTAGACTCCAATGATTGTGCATGATATTTCGAGTCCAGATTTTGGTTGCAGCCCATCTTCACAACAAACAGTTCATTTTGAAGTGTATTATTAAAATGAATGTGGAAACTTGTATCTTTACTTACAAGTTGTTGTTTTTTTCTATCCTTGTTTCTTACCAATAGTCATCGTCTGGAGTATTTCAAAAGCTTCAGTCTAAAGTGGATTATGGGAGAGAACTGGGAGCAACCAGCATCAGACCTGTGGATATAGCTTAATCAGTGTCTACAATCAAGTAACACTCTAAATCACAAACACAGTTATTATTTTTATATATATATATAAAAACACTTCAGCAAAAACTAACAGCCTCTATCCTCCAAATACTTTAAAAGTCTATTTTTAGATTTCTGGAATGAAGTTGTATTTTGTCACTTTTTCAACTGATGTGGCAATTAAAATAAAGTAAGAGGCGATTTCCTTTGATAATGTTTTGTTTTATATTCAATTATATACAATTAAAAGATAAAAAGGGGTTAATGAGTGTTTTAAGCACCCTTTTAATGCATGTTTTATCTTCCTTAAAATATCTCTTGTAAGTTAATAGAAGCCAATTACAGTATTTTGATCTGTCTGCAAAATACAAATGATATTAATATGTAATTTTAATAGTAATATATTTCAGTGTGAGTTTTTGGGAATACTGTTGAGGAAGATACTAAAAACAGGGTTTTTTTTTTTCTTGAATAGAGTAATGTCCGTCTGCCTGGAAAGATTTGTAAGGGACCATGATGCAGACTCATGGTGCTCTACAAGGATGAAGCTGGAGATCACAGATACAAACTAAGACACCATATCATGCAATACTTTCATCGCTACCAAAATGATTCGGTTCTCTTCAGGCTCTTGTATCACACAGATTACCCTTTTTGGATTTATAAGAACTTCTGCCCCAAAATTAAATAAGGGGGCTGCACAGTTACTCAATTCTTAAAGGAAATGTTGTAGAAAAAAATTCAGGATTTAGATTAGAATTGTAGGATAGATGCTGCCTATTATGTGTTTTACACAGTGCCTTGCATGATAGGGGACACTGGCTAGGGCTTCTGTTTGATACTGTAATACAAATATAATAATAAAGGAAGTGAAGTTCATATGCATGAGTTCTCTTTCCCCAGATAGCTCCATAACTTGCTACCATGGAACTTTGTGCTTTGGTATTGGGAAATGTCCATGGCAAACCAGCCTTTCCCATTGACCCACATAGATCTCAGAAGATCTGTAAATTCTAGAGGATGAAAGCTTTGTTGTTTCTATAAAACATAAACTCCATTCTACCCCATTGAAAGAAATCAGATTAAACTACTGAATGGAAATATTTCCATGTTGTAGGAAGTGATCTAGTCCATAAACTAAGCTAATAGTCCCAGCAACATCAAAACCAGTCATGATTGCTTAAAGTACATATGCAGAATTGCTCTGTGATCTATTAATAACTATTCTGTTTTGAACTTAGATTTTTATAGATACTTGGAAGTACTAAAGTTGGTTGTAGAGCTTTTTTCCTCTACAAATGCTATTTTCAAGGGTAACTTTCACTGAGCTATAGCGACCATACAATGTGTCCTGTGCTGTCTTGGCCAGTTGTTACGCATTGATGAAATACTGCAGATGATGATCAGTCTATTTTCCTGCCAAAATATCTTTTGCAGATCTTAGAACTCTTCTGAGTTTAGAACTTTTCAGGCCCTAGTGAAGTAGATATTGAAGTAGATAGGAGCAGGGCCAAATGTGATCCTGGATTAAGTAAGCACAATTATTAGTAAAATCAGCTCCTGGGCTGAATCTAGCCCAATGTCTTTAAAGCTTTGTCTTGTATTTCTTATAATGTCACCTTAAATGTGAATTTAGGAACTTTAAATGAAAGTGTGTAAAGTTTTCTCTGCAGAGTGTTATTAACAAGAGGGCTTCTGGATTAATTCAACAGCCAGGTCTGTTCTTTCAGCCATAAGCTATGCTGTCAGGGAAACTTAATTACAGTTTAAGTGGGATGCAAATGAGTTGTGACACTACATCATTTCACATGAAAGGTTCATTACTTACATTAACTTGCACAATGCTCTCTCCTAAGCGTAAGCCTCATTACAATTTTTTTATTTTTTAACATGGTTAAATGTGAGTAGGACTTTTACTTTTAATATGTCCATTCTTAATCATTTAAGCTTTAAGCTGTTACATTTATTAAATCAGTATAAAATTAACTAACATCTACATGCCAGTCACTGAAATGCTAGTCATGTCTGTTCCCACTTCTCATTCTGAATTCTAGTTTGTTCATTTTACATGCCGAGCTGTGAAATGTTAACTTGATGTAGACTTGCATGCTCTTCTTCAAGTGGGTGGGAAGAAAATACCATGATTCTTAATGCTATAACTAAAATAATCCTGGGTTAATAACTTAATCATGTATATAGGACAGGGCTACTCAACTTTGGAAGCTCTAGGGGCCACAATGATACTCACAGCACATACCAAGGACCGCAAGGTAAGTGTGGTTGCGTGTACATGCAAATATATATGCAAATATATGCATATAGCTTCTTTCACACTGACGGGCATGAATACAAAGATTAAGGAAAGACTGCACAACATGCAGGCTCTATTTAAATCAGTTCTGCTGATATTAATAAAATGCAACCCAATTTCAACCCATATGATAGCACTTTTAATGAGCAATGACAATCCCGGAATTTAACCACTAAAATGCATATCAACAAAAGACCATTATATTGACTACTTTTTTGTTTTGGCTCCCACCTGAAGGCCACATGTTGAGCCCCATATAAACCCAAACTGCACCACAGGCCACAAACAAACGGGCCACTTGCCATGTGCTAAGTAGCCCTGATTTAGGATGACCAATATTTGGTAAGTGGTGAATCAAAGATCAGTTATTGAGTCATTCTCAAAAAAGAAAATACCATGTAATGTCTTAAATAGCAGAGGAACCAGTAAATAGCAGCTGCCTAGTAGAGGGTAGCCTTTATAAAGGACTGTGGTGGTGTAGTACTGGAAACTGTGGGAATAGTTTGATACAGTTCAGACAGAGGGCTGTCCTTTGGAAGCAGTGCTTTTTATCCCGGTTTCACTCTGCATCTTTTCTTCCAACTTTGAATACTGCACAGAATATTTTTTTCATTTCCCCCTCTCTTCCTATACCTATAATTTTTTAATACCATTTATATTTTAGGCAACAGCAAGCAGCAATCGAATTACTATTTATTTGCCAAAGTATCAGATCAATATGGATCAGTATTATAAAATATATTATAAAATAGCTATTCTGTCTCTAAGGAGCTGATTTTCAGTGTACATAATGCGACTAGTTAAAACTAAATTTAATCAAAGCTGCCCAGCCTGAGTGAGAGAGTCTTGAAAAGTATACTTATAAAAGTGAAGCAACTTTTTCTTGGACCCATTTATTTTCAAACCCAGATGAGATTTGATTAGCTAGAATAATCCTCAAATTGCAGCTAAAGCAAAGTCATGGAGTCAAGACTCCTGGGTTCTATTTTCACATCAGCCAGTGATTTGTTGTTTAACTTTAAGCAACTCACATTTTTTGTGTTGAATTTAGTGCTGATTGC